TGGCACGGAGTGCACACTGTACACTAATTGCAGCTCAAATAAAGCAGCTACAGTTTCACTTTGAGACATGCTTTTGGCTGTTGTTTCCTTTCTTAGAAAAGCAAAGTCTGTGCTTTAATAGTATGAGGCTTTTGATAAAGCCATCTTAAACAAATGTATCCATGCAAATAAAGAAGTTTAGGAGGAGAGATGGTATCGGTATCGGTATCGGTATTGGTATCGGTATCAGCAGATACTCAAAGATGAAGTATCGGTATCGGAAATCAAAAAGAGGTATCAGTCCATCCTTACTGGGAACACTGGGAACACTGGGGACATGGGGAACACTGGGGACACTGGGGATACTGGGAACACTGGGAACACTGGAAACACTGGGGACACTGGGAACACTGGGGACCCTGGGAACACTGGGAACACTGGGGACACTGGGAACACTGGGGATTCTGGGAACACTGGGGATACTGGGAACACTGGGAACAATGGGGACACTGGGGATACTGGGAACACTGACGACACTGGGGAAAATGGGAACACTGGGGATACTAGGAACACTGGGGATACTGGGGACACTGGGGACACTGGGGAAACTGGGAACACTGGGAACAATGGGGACACTGGAAACACTGGGGACACTGGGAACAATGGGGATACTGGGGATACTGGGGACACTGGAGATACTGGGGACACTGGGAATACTGGGAACACTGGGGATACTGGAAAACACTGGGGACACTAAGGACACTGGGGACACTGAGAACACTGGGGATACTGGGAACACTGGGGACACTAGGGACACTGGGGACACTGGGAATACTGGGAACACTGGGGACACTGGGAACACTGGGGATACTGAGGACACTGGGGACACTGGAAACACTGGGAACACTGGGGATACTGGACACTGGGAACACTGGGGACAATGGGGACACTGGGAATGCTGGGGACACTGGGGACACTGGGAACACTGGGGATACTGGGAACAATGGGGATACTGAGGACACTGGGAACACTGGGAACACTGGGGATACTGGGGACACTGGGGACAATGGGGACACGGTATACTGGGGAAACTGGGGATACTGGGGACACTGGGAATACTGGGAACACTAGGGACACTGGGGAAACTGGGGACACTGGGAACACTGGGGATACTGGGAACACTGGGGATGCTGGGGATGCTGGGGACACTGGGAACACTGGGGACACTGGGGAAACTGGGAACACTGGGGACACTGGGAACACTGGGGATAATGGGGACACTGGGGATACTGGGAACACTGGGGACACTGGGAACACTGGGGATACTGGGGACACTGGGAACACTGGGGATACTGGGGACATTGGGAACACTGGGGATACTGGGGATACTGGGAACACTGGGGACACTGGGGAAACTGGGAACACTGGGGATACTGGGGACACTGGGAACACTGAGGATACTGGGGAAACTGGGAACACTGGGGACACTGGGAACACTGGGGATACTGGGGACACTGGGAACACTGGGGATATTGGGGACACTGGGAACACTGGGGACACTGGGGATACTGGGGACACTGGGAACACTGGGGATACTGCCTCAACACACTGAGGACTTTCAGAAAGTCTGAGCTATTANACACACACACACACACACACACACACACACACACACACACACAGAAGCTACAGAATCCAACCAGCAGCGTCCTGATGGAACCTCTGAGTCACTGCAGTCAGAAATATTCTCATCAATAAAAGATCATTTGTGTCGCTTTCAAACAGAATAAACCTGCTGCAGAATGAATGAATGAATGAATGAATGAATGAATGAATGAATGAATGAATGAATGCAGTTCCAGGAGATTCCTGAAGGAAGGTTCCTGCTGAAGGTTTTCTGACGTTGTGCTTTGGGTTCATGATGAATACGATCATATTAGTCCGTGAACAGAAACACCAGGAAGCTCAGCAGCGTTCAGCTGGTTCCGTCCAGGATCCAGACTGAAGCCAAACGTTCTTCATCCTTCTTGTACATAAAGTGAACCTGAGAGCAGGATGATGAAGACCGACTGCAGTTACATAAATAAACGAGCTGCGACCGGCGAAGCTCCTCGTTATGCAACAGCAGGGCATCATGGGAGAGCCGGCGCTGAGGTCACAGCAGTGACTCCGCTGGTTGTTCACCAGGCTGAGCTGCACAGCTGCACGGCTGCAGGTCTAAAGTGTGCCGCTGACTCTGGACTCATGAAGGCTGGAGACGAGCAGTGGAGCTGCTGGAACCCACGTGGAAATGTTCACTTCAGAACATTTTTAGCTCCAGTGTGAGTCTTTGGAGGCCAAACAAGGACGACAAACCTCGACTGCAGGATCTTTGTTTTTAGTTGCTGGAAGATTTAAAAACATCCACATCTGGACAGTTTGGGGCAACTTGTCAGGTTTCTGCTGATTAAACTTCTAAAAGACACATAAACGGATCATCTGGACTGAAATCAGATTAAAACTGATTTAGAAGTCAAAGTTAATCATCCAGCTGCTGCTTGAACATCATCAACATCTGTATGTTTCAATAAACCAGTGTTTATAAGACCAACAGTAGAGCTTCTTCCAGTGAGCTGATCACCAGACACTGTAAAACAACACGGAGCAAGGATCTCGTTGTAAGAATGGAATTAGCTTCAATGAAAATGTAGTTTAATGAAATCACTTTTAAATGTCTTAATCAGGCTGAACACGGTTTGGTTTAATGATATTGTGTCAATGACGGCACGCTGCTGTAAAATCAGTAACTCACGGCCTGCTGCTGATTCCAGATCATATCAGGAATGATGTGAGGTTTTACAGAATGTGAGCAGCGTTTCTGCTCTCTGCTCCTGATCTGTGCTAGCTACAAAAGCCTAGCTTAGCATTGTTAGCGTCAGGTAGCGAGCTCAACGAGACACCTTCATCACCGTGCTGCAGGAGAGTGACTTTACATTTGTCCACTCAGTTAAAATTGTTTAGAATGATTCAGAATTTATTTCAAATAACAACTACTTGTTTAAAATTACCTCAAATGACACAATAAAATAGAAAGAGTTGACCTGAATGACTAAAGCTGCCCAAAATTACTCCAGAATAACTTTTAGAAGAAGAAGCTCCAGTTGTTCAGAATGATTCAGACGTTGTCCTAAAGCAAACGAAAAATTACCAAATAACTCAAAATCATTCCAAATGACTCTAAACGTGTCTAACATGACTCAAAACTTTCCAAAAATTACTCAGAAATGAACAAAATTTAAAGCAAATGACAAAAATGACAAACATGTTTCCTATTTGCTGCTTCAGAGTTCATCAACACGACGCCACAGTCAGGCGGCTGGAAGGTGCGTTCATTTTAAAGACCCTGAGAGACGGTCAGCAAACACACCAGTAACGCCACCTCATTAAACAGCTTCACCTGGTGGACCAACCAGGAGCTACAGCTGAGAGGAGCTGTGACTTATTAGCATCCCTTATAAACCATCATCAGACATGCAAACACCACACAGCGGAACCTGATGATCCATAAACTGCTGCAAACTCTTGAAGCCAAAACATTTTCAGCAAACAGACCAGCCGCTGATGGTGAAGTTCATCCACCGCCACAGAGAAGCTGCTTCTGATCAAACATCACACACACATCACACTGAGTGATGTTTGGATCAGAGGCAGCAGAGGAACAGAAGCTCCATGAAGAAACTCCATGAAGAAGCTCCATGAAGAAGCTCCATGAAGAAGCTCCATGGTTACCTTCAGCTGCACCAGGTGGACGTCCACATGTCGGTTGTCTCCATCTTGTCCCACAGAGTGAGAAAGCTGAGTGACTCGGTCACTGGTAGCCTTCAGCCACTTCTCGATCTCCGGCAGGTGAAGAACCACCTTCCAGTCGGCTCCAGTGTGCAGAGGAGGAGGTTTCTTCATCCTGGAAGAAGATGGAGCTCATCAGTATATTTAAATGATAACAGGGAACGTGAACATGGAGACTCAGAGTGTCAGACCTCAGAGAAAACCTTCACAGACTCGTTACCATCAGCTCTACAGAGCTACAGCTTTATATTGAGCAGCTCCAGAATGAGGATCAGTTGGATGTTTGCGGGAGACGTAAACTCTGTTCTTCTGTCTGGAGACAAAACCTTGAATTTAAGGTTTTGATCACCTTTGGCTGGATCTGAATCCTGCATGAAATAAACTTGAGCAGCTGGTTGCTAAAGTTATAAACAGCCACAGCAACAAGGTTCAGTCCAGATTTGTGATGAAATTCAGTCTAATGTGATTTAAACTTAGATTTCTGTTAATCTAAAACTAAATTCAGTTTGAGGTAACTTCATGACATCAGCTGATAACATCAGGACTGTCTTCTTCGACCTTCTCTCTACTGAAGCAGCGCCATTTTGAAATGTTTGCGTTCATAATCATAGTAATTAAGTTCATAACACCTAAAAAATTATTTTAAAATGAATGTAAATCCTTGTTGGAACAGATTCGTTGTTATGAGTAACCAACGTGTGTTTATGCTGCCGATCAGTGACACACCTCCGACCGAAGACGACTTGGTTCCTGTGACTCGGTGGAGTTTGGTTGAACTTGATGTCATCAGAGGTTGTCTGAACTCAAATATACTGATTCAGACTGATGTCTTTGGTTTATTTGAGCCCAAACCTCATGTAGCCGAGTCGCACTAACGCGACCAGTTGTTGTCGTGTTTTGTGTCATCGTCGTTGTGTTTGTTGTGTTACCTTCTGGAAGCTCCTCCCCCAGACAGGCTGCCTCCGCTGGGGTCCAAACCCGACAGCGAGGCTCCGTCGTCGGGTTGCTCCGGGTCCATGAGGGGGGCGGAGCTGACAGAGGCAAGGCAGGTGGAGGGCGTCACCGGGGTGACGGAGGTGAGCATCGGAGACGGAGGCTCAGGGGCGACGGGCGAGAGAGCTTGGAGGCTCATGTTAGAGAAAGAGAGAGGATTCCTGATGTGGATGGAGTCTCATTGGACTGAACTGGAGACGGAAGAGAAACACAAACAGAAAGTTACGGTCTGGTCAAAGCACTTTCAGAACCAGAACTCTAGAACTAACCAGGCTGAGGGTCTGTCAGCGGTTTATTCAATTACAGCCACAGACTCTGGACGCAGCATCTTTTATTTACTTCCTGAAGCTGCTCGTATTCACATGGTTGTGTTGAAG